CTTTTTTTTAAATGTATTTGCACAGTTGGGACCAAATGAATTGAAGTCCAGGTGAGAAAGAGAAGTTCACTTGGTGCAACATTCTCACCACTTTTCCGTCTTGACGGACGCACATATTCTTCAGAACATTGGCTGTAAAAGAAGGAACAGCAGATAATTAGTCCGATTTGTTCCCGGGGGTCTTCCCCGCTCGCTGAGCTCCTGACGGAGACTAATGCTGTTGCATTGAGACAATATGGCGCATGAGCAGCAGGTGGTCTGACATTTACTAAACACCAGTACAGTAAGTCATTGAAGGTGCAAAAGGTCAACAGAATAACAGAGACAACAGAAAAAAATCTCGTGCCAGATGCTCCACTTGCTTAGGAAATTAAGAAAAGATAATATATATCTAGGGACGTTACCGATCAGGTTGTTTTGGTCCTGATCCTGAATATATTTGCAGGAACCCAGAAAAACCTTCAGTAAGTCCAGAGACATATGAAATATGTCAAACAGGAAGTGTGTTGATATTGTTGTATGTATTGTATCCCCTCAGTTTATTTTTTATGAAGCTTTTTATTTAAAAAAAGGTTCAGCGATTATTAAAAGCTTTCTGTGTTGTAATTTATTCTTAAATGCATCTCATATTTAACATGAAATGGGAAAAGAACATGCATTCATTATTACAGTATGTTTTATTTATAATTCATCAAGTTCAATTTGAAATCTGACAATCAATGTTGAGATATTAATTAATTGAGGTTTCAGTTACCTCAATATATAAATGGCACTAAATCATAGTGTAAGTTATACATTACTGTGATGTTTCAGACCTTTGCATGACGAAGTTCTTTCTAACTAGACCTCGTTGAATTTGAATTGAATACCCCTCTGTAGACTTGGCAATGATGTCTAAAGGACACAAGTCTCTGGGAAAGCTTTCAGTTTCTCTCAGTCTTTTACTCGAGCATTTAAAAAAACGGCAAAATGTCAAAAGGAATCCTTAGACTGCAGTGTGAGCGGCTCAGTCCTGCTCTGCTGTCTCTCTTTCTCTTTCACTCGCTCTTCCCAGAGAGAGGGAGAGAGAGAGGGGAAGACACAGTTCTGTGGCAGGAGGGTTAATAACTTGCTTTGCTCTGGACGCCTCAAATTGGTTTCCATTGACACCTGCTATCTCAGCAGATAGCAGAGAGGACCTCATCAAGTGTAAAGGCGCCGATAACGGGGAGCCAAATAACCCACTATAGAGCAATAACTTCCATCCCATATATACGCAGCTCTTATTGTCGCCGTGTCAAATCCCTGACTTTTGTTCCTCCTGCGGTGATGATGTTCCGCAGCTCCGTCACTTTTCAGCCGCCCTCGATGCCTTGTGGAGATAAACCTTTCATTTCCATTCACGCTCTTTAATTGCCTCGCCACGAGGATGAGCTTATCTCAAATTAGACGTTCAAATATTGAAATATTTGTCATTATCGGGTTTCTTTCTTTTTTCTGTCTTAAAAGTGAATATAATCCAGCGCGGTGCAGCAGGAGAAGCTCACAGAGAAAAGTTAGGAGAAAGAAAAGGAAAAAGCTGAAGGTACAGGAAACTCAAAATAATAGATTTTCAGTTCAATACGTGATATTTATGTGTCACTTTTGAACTGTCATGAGTTACTGTTAATTGCTCTTATATTTCCTCTTTCATCTTTTATAACCAGAATAAAAAGACAACATTTGTCAGTTTGAGACGTGGCAGAGACGGCGTGTCAGTTTCCTCTCATTACATGCATAACGTCTTTTCAAAATAAACTTCCAATGTAGGTTTACTTTGTTTTTAGGCTTTAAGTAGACACGTTGGTTAGGAAAAGATTGTGGTTTGGGCTAAAAGGAGAATGTGTCAGTTTTGGATGTGTCAGTTTCATGCATCGCATCTTTTCAAAATAAACTTTGGTCTTCACAGGAAATGTACAGTTTCCGCTCATTATGTGAATACAGTGTCCTTTCAAAATATACTTCCAACAGTTTCTTTTGGTTTACTTGGTTTAGGCAACAAAAGTAGGCAACTTGGTCAAGAAAAGAGATGTGTTTTGGGTTCAAATAAATAGTTTTTGTTGCGTAACATGAGTACATTTCTTGAGTAACTTGTATGTAGCACTAGTTAAAGCTAGTGAAACATTAGGAAACAAAACTACGGTAAAATAAATCAACGTTGACTTGGTTCCACACGGGACACAAACAGCAGTCTCCTGGGTGAGAGTCCATGTTTGTTTGACGTGGATGGATTTACATTGGAGTTAGTTAAAAGCCGGGTGCGTCTCATACAGACGTCGCTCCGGGGTGAGCTGGTCTGATAACAGACTTTGGTGAAGGCGGCTCACATGTATCCTCTGGAAGGAAAACAATTTCCGGGGTTTACCTGTGGATCGAGAGGCGAGGATCGATCAAATAAGGGGATCTGGATTTACCCAAAGATTGAAAAGAAAAACGACCCTAAATCAAGTTTCTCGTAGCTGTAAGTGGATTCAGAGAGAAAGAAAGTGAGAGAGAGAGAGAGAGAGAGAGAAGTGAAAGCAACAGGAAGAACCAGAGCGCAGCAATTTGCCACATAAGCGAAACGTCAAGGTAATGGAGTGAGGAGCCCTCCTCTTCCTCCTCCTGAGTTTCTCACCCTGAGATGCAATCGAATCAGTCTGACAGATCAGAGTGTTCAGACCGAGGCAGGAGGACAGATAGATAGTCAGACGATGCGTTTGTCTGTGAACGCCTCCATCATTCACCGACCACACATGGCACTAAAGAGACAGAGAGAGGCTGGTGTGGCCTGTGGGGCAATAACAGCATCGAGTCCAGCGAGTATTTAAAAACACAGGTCTTATTCTCTTATTCTTATTCTGTCTCTCTTCTTGTGTGCCGTCTGCCAAATATGCTGTGACACGTTTTTCACTCTCGCACTTTTCTGAGTTTGCCAGCCAGCACTTGGCAAAGTAATCAGAGAGTCATTGGTATCGATCAACAACTCTTAACAACCATCCAGAGAATATATCTCTTTGGATTCTGGCAGTGGCTCCTGAGAGGAGGAGGAGGCTTCATGCCGTTTAACAAGACCGGAGAGAAGAACAACATTTCTGCTGCTGTCAGAAATTGTCTTTTTCCACCCCCCAAAGTTCCCCCAAATCTTAGCTTCATTTTAAAAGACTGGAATAAATTCTTTAAAATCATTAAAATAGATAAAATCTTCTGTTGAACCGAGTAAACACAATGCAACAAGGGGTTGTGAGTAACAAGGTCACGAGCCTAAAGGTTGGAAACAAGTGGATTATTGGTGTAAAAGTAAAAATCGCCCATTTTGCCGATGATGTTTCATAACACAGCGACGTTTAATCTTTTACTTTTGAGGTTTAGAGTTGAAGGGTCGAGTGGAGGGAGAGAAGTAACGATACCTTGTGAGGTCAGAGGGACGGCTGCATGCAGGAAGCTAGTTTTGGTCGGTTGGCTGCTGATTTGACGGCAACACGGTGAGCTGCAGCAGAGACACAGATCATAGAGCTGACTAATCAAAGACACACTAATCAACTGCAAAGACACAAAGTGACCACAAATACACACAATCAACTACAAAGAGACACAAAGAGACACAAAATTACTACAAGGACTCACAAAACGACTACAGGGAGGCACAGAATAATGACTAAAGGACAGAAAACAACCACAAAGAGACACACAACTCTAACAGGATGAGCCAGATCGCTAAAAACACTTTTCCACACAGAATGTTAATTGTTGAAGCATCCCTTGTATAAACACAACAACAACAATCTATGGGATTATGCACAAACAACAACAAGGTTGCGTTTATCTTTGAGATAATTGCAGAGGATAAATGTGCATCATTAATTAAGACTTTACAGCGTCATAAAACCAGCTGTTTTAAACACTCTCCCCATCACTGTACAGTTACTCTCACTGTTCCTCCCTCACCCACTCACCCTCGTCTTCCACTCACCCTCTCTATAAAATAATGGTCTTCCTCCGTCTCTGAGTCTGTCTCTGTGTGATGAGAGCCGTGTTGGGGGGGTCGGCTCTGCATGGATTCACATAACTAACCTTCAGTGTCCAATTAGATTAGTCGCTGCAAAAACCAATTAGTGTAACTGGGAGGGAGGATGAGATGCCAGTGGTCGTATTAGGACTCTGATATCCCAGCAGCAGGAAAACATGCTGACAAAGCTCTTCAGTAGCCACTGCAGTGGAAAATGCAGTCTTTTTCTTTGCTCGAATGACAATAGAAAATAGAAGTTTCTCAACTTGGAACCAAAAATACTCCAAAGGGAAAATTTGGGTAGAACGACAAACTTTGGCAGTAATTAGTCCGAAGATCTGCAAATATATATATATATATATAAAAAAAATGTCTTTATCCCGTTTAAAAGACCTTAACAGAAATATTTAAACAGACTACATTTTAACTGACATACAAAAATCCAAGAATATCCTCATTTAGCTTAAACGTGAGTAAACAGCTGTTTGGCAGACGGCTGGTGTGAGGGGGAAGAACAGATGCACTGTTTTAACAGACCTCCTTCTCCTCTTTCACAGTTAATCTGCAACAGCAGCAAACTTATCTCAATGTGGAGGTAAAGATTTGTTAGAATTAGCACAAAGGGGCGGGCGAGTTATCCCTGCCACGCGTTCAGGATTTGTTTTATTGATGATATTCAATGAAAAAAACAAGCTTCTTAGGAATTGAGATCGAGTGGCTCGTTTTCTGAAAATCACCGATGCAGTGCAGCAGTTTCTCTTGTTTTTGTTTTTATTCCGAACAGGTTCTCCGGTGCCCATTTGCTCCACAAAAGCAACCTTGATAAATCTTAATCTGAGCAAAGAATAAGGAAAAAGAAATGGAGAAATGAAGATCGCGCCGCTTTCACTGTTCTGATGCAGGTGTGAAATAAATCACGTCTCTCAAAGGCAATTCAAGTGAGTAAGACACGGGTACCAAACTGTGTTTCCTCGGGGGAATATATGTAAAAAAATAACCAAATATTTTTTTTTTATTTCATGTCGATACATTCTTGGACAACACCACAGAATAGTTGCATGAGTGGCCAAATGTAAAATCTCTCCCACAACATTGGCACATAAGCAGCAAGGGCAACATTAATATAACTAGTACAAACAGTAGAAAACATACATGCTTCCTTTTGATGTGTTTTTTTAACAAGTATTTTGTTTTTTTTAAATATATATTCATCTTGTTCTCCATTTCCCGTAGTTTCCAGGAAAATAAGGAAACCAATCAAAGCCATATTCTGCTGAGTGAGAAAGAAACGGTGGAGAAAACGAACAGAAAGAAAGAAAAGAAAGAGAAAGAGTACAATTCAGAGCAGACACGTGGAATCAACTGTTGTGAGGATTTCCTTATTTTAAACTTTTTTTTCTTTTTCTTTTTTCGGATTCAACATCGAACATATCAGGCATGCATTGACAACCTCGACATCAACACTTTTTTTTTGTTGTATCAGTAGTCCAAGAAATCACCAGAGAGCCGGCGCAAATCCGGTGAAGTCCGGACCGAAGCGGGTTCTTTTTAAAGTCGGCTACAACACAGTTAAGGGTCGTCATCATCATCAGCATCATCATCATCATCACACACCTACAAAAGACTGGAGAGGTCATCGTGTATGTGCTCGTGGAGAAGGAACACACATGTTGGGATGGGAATGCTTTCATCATGGGACCACCAACAAGTCAAACAGTTCAAACAAAAGCAGCCTTCTTTTTGTGTCCGCGTCCTTCTGAGGAGTCTGATTTTTTTATTTTTCTCCAACGTCAGATGACAGGTACTGTTGGAATGTTGGACTCGCATACGATAAAACCTTTGAGCAGAAAAAGCGAATCTCTCAAGTTTTCGCTCTCCTTCTCATCCGTTTTTTTTTTTTTTGGGACAGCCATGAAAAGTTCTTGGCTCGGATTTATTACTGAGAAAAAACGGGGTTCCTTCAGATCTCGTACCTGTTCAAGTAATTAAGAGAACACTTTGGAGTCAATCTGGTCTTATGTCCACATTGCTGATCTCAGATAGTTAAAGCTCCTGAAAACACAGCGTCAAATCTTAGTGTTCCTCTAGAACAGAGGTTTGAACTGTAAGAGAGGCGTCCTCCCCCCTGAGGAGGAGGAGGGAGAGTGAGGTAAAGATGCGTGAGGTGAGACGGGAACGGTGCATGCAGGTGTAACAACAGGAAGTGTGTTTTTGCAGTTGCAGCAGGAGACACACAGATCATGGAGGAGACTTTTTAGATACAGGAAATTTGATTTAGGCGCTGCACACACAGATCTGCGCATCTAAAACAAATAATAAATTAAGGTAAAAAAAACAAAACACAAGAACATAGAAGCAATTGTACAAAAAGCGGTTTCAGATGATGAAAGGCAACATATATAACTAACACCTATTAAGCCACAAATTCCCGATTTTTGAATTTCCCATATACGTTCACAACGCTTCCGCACCCAACTGCTACAATCTGCGTCAACAATCGCGCGCTCCTTCTCGGAGTCGTGACTTCAGGTTTCAGTCAAACCTGACCACGATAGCATGATACACTTATAATACGATTCAGTGTGACTTACACTGTCCGGGGATATCGTTATCTCTGACCTGCGTCACAGATAGATGTCCATAAATCCACTTAGAAATCATAGAACAAAGACGCTTCCTATTGCAGAACTTGCCTGAGAATCTTCACATCTTAAAGTTTTCTTCAACATCACCAGAACCCAATGGTAGTTAATGGGTTCACTGCAGATAATTCAGCATACTTTTTAGAGACTATTTGACTAAATTGACAAATGAAGGCAGTGTCAGACTTTGTAAACCCCAGTACTTCAGCATTAGTACGTGTGACTGAAAACAGGGAGTTTGTGTGTCACTCACAGCAAGAAGCTGATTGAGAAAACCAGTTTTCAGGGCCTTTAAGGACGTTTATTTAGTGGCAACAATCAGATTCCAGGTGGCAGCGTCAGCAAGAGCCCTCAAAGATCTCAAAGTGAAGAATATGGCTTTAATAAAAAACAGAAAACATTGTGCATCCAAGAAGCGAAGAGCAAAATAGATTCATCACCAACGTCATAACCATCGTCGCCTTTGAAAAAGAAAAAGGAAATAAAAGCGACAACCAAAGTAACATATAAGCCATAAAGAGCCACACACGGGGAGGACGGGAAGATTGGAAAACTTGCAGTTTGGAAGTACATTAAAAGACAAGAGGAGGCGGGGCTTCATAGAAAGGTCACGTCAGACTGCCGCGGCTTCGTTTGACATCAAGGGCAGAGAGAGAATCAACACGGAGCCCCTCCCCCCCACGAGGCTGCAAAGATGCCATGTTTGCTCTCAGTACCATCATCACCTCACAAACAGAAGGATTTATATATATATATTTTTTTTAACTTTCCGAACATCCTCACGTCTTTTTTTTTCCCCGGCGCGTCTTCGCTCTCTGTGCGTCCTCGCTTCTCTTTGACCGAGGGGAAGTCTGAAGTCCGGAGGAAAGTCCCACAAGGCTTTGCTTCAGCATCCGTGAGTCTGTTGGTGGGCGATGAAGCACATGAGACCATAGAACTAAACAACAACAACAAAAAAAACATACTTCTCTGCTTCTTCTTTTTTCCTGCCTATCCCTGTTTTTTTTAGCCAGCAGGGCCAGAGACCAGACATCTCCAACTATCGCTCTGTTTTCAGTCTCTTGCTCTGATGCCGTTAGATCACAAGGTCGTTGTAGCTCACGAACTTCTTCTTTGCTGCCGGACCTGAAAAAAAGGAGACAACGGACAAAACAGGAAGGAGCTTTAGTTCCTGCGGCTGTTATTTTTTACCTGGACGTTAATGTTGTGATCGAGGCGAAATGAAAGTTGTACACAGATGTAAATGAAATGATTCCAGAGTTTAAAGGAAGGCTTGAATTATGAACTCTCAAAGCGGGAGGGGAGAGCAGTTTGGTGCGTTTGAGATCAGAAAAGAGAATCAGCTTCTCTTCATTTACAATTCTGTGTTCTATAGCGAGGGGGTGATCTGTCAGTGTTGAGAGGTCATAACTCATGAAGCAAAAGAGCATCTGCAGCCGAAGATAAAAACAAACAAAGAAAGAAAATCCAAAATGTCAAAAAAGCTTCTGCAGAACAAGAGCATACAACTAAACTTTGGGAACCAAACCAGAGAATAAACCAGAGAATAAACCAGAGAGTAAACCAGAGA